GCATCTATTAACAAGTGAGTCTAAGAATCAAGTGAATAAATAATCTGGTGTTCATAATAGAATCAGGGACATAGAAAGGGATTGGACTGACTATTTTTTGGGGGGAAAGGGTTGTGGGAGATTTGGGAAGAGACTGGACAAAAATCGTGCACCTATGGATGAGGACAGAGGGTGGGGAGTGAGGGCGGAGGGTGGGGTGGGAACTAGGGGAGTTATGGGGGGAAAAAGAGGAACAAATGTAATAAACTGAACAATAAAGATTAAATTAAAAAATTTTAAAAAAATAAAAAATAAAAAGTGGGCTTTGTAGCACACCTGGATTAAAAACTTGATCTCACTTATTTCTCCCTTAGTGCCCTTAAAGCTTTGGAAAAAGGTAGTGTTGATACCTACCTATCTCACATGATGATGTAAACACTGAGTTAGTTAGTACCTGTAAGCCTCTTACCACATGGTAACATTCCTAGCCCATAGCAGGTATTCAAAAATGTTTGTTTCCTTCCTTCTTCCTTTTTCCAGTCACACTCACACAGCCACTGGCAAAATAGAAACCATTCAGATCCAATATTAGCAGGTCCCATTCTGCAGGTCTCTCTTCACAGTAGTTTGGTCTATTATTTTTCTTATAGAAATTAGAGATTGTTGTTTCTTCAAGTATTTCTTTCATAAAAATGAATAAGGAATATTTTGTAATTTTGTGTTTAACACAGCTAAAATTCAGTACAGCAACCTAAATAAAACTAATTTTTCCTTTTCTAATTGACTTTATTGGGGTGACATTGATTAATAAAATTATTTAGATATCAGGTGTACAAATCTATAATACATCATCTGTATATTGCATTGTGTTCACTACCCCAAGTCAAATCTCCTTTCATCACCATTTATCTCGCCTTTACCATCTTCTATCTTTCCCTCTCACCTTTTCCCTCTGGTAATCACTGTATTGTTGTCTGTGTCTATGAGGTGTTTGTTGTTGTTGTTGTTGTTTTGCTTAAACCTTCACCTTTTACATCCAGCCCCCATAATCCCCTTCTGTTCTGACAGCTCTCAACCTGTTTTCTGTATCTATAAGCCTGTTTCTATATTGTTTGTTAGTTTACTTTGTTCATTAGAGTCCACGTATAAATGAAATATATGGTCCTTGTCTTTCTCTGACTGGCTTATTTCACTTAGCATAATATTCTCCAAGGCCATCCATGCTGTTGCAAAAGGTAAGATTTCCTTATTTTTTATTGCCCAGTAGTATTCCATTGTGTAACTATACCACAGCTTTTTTAAAAAAAGTATTAATTGATTTTAGAGACAGAGAGGAAGGGGGAAGAAAGGAAGAGAGAGAGAGAGAGAGAGAGAGAGAGAGAGAGAGAGAGAAAGGGAGAATTTGTTGTTTTACTCCTTTTTTGAAAAAATAGTTTTATTGATTTCAGAGAGGAAGGGAAAGGGAGAGAAAGATAGAAATATTAATTATGAGAGAGAATCATTAACTAGCTGCATCTTGCATATAACCTACTGAGGATCAAGCCCACAATCTGACTGGGAATTGAATCAAACAGTGACCTCCTAGTTCATTAGTCAATGCTCAACACTGAGCCATTCTGGTCCAGCTGTACCACAGTTTTTTTTATCCACTCATCTACTGCTAGGTCATAAAGAAGTTCCTGCTTTCCACACTAGATGCACCTACCAGCCTTCCCACCAACAGTGCATGAGGGTTCCCTTTTTGCCACATCCTCCCCAACACTTGTTGTTTGTTGATTTACTGATGATAGCCATTCTAACAAGTGTGAGGTGGCATCACATTGTAGTTTTCATTTCCGTTTCTCTGATGATTAGTGACATTGAGCATATTTTCACATGTCTATGGGGCATCTGTTTTTATTGATTTCAGAGAGGAAGGGAGAGGGAGAGAGAGAAACATCAAATATGAGAGAGAAACATTGATCAGCTGCCTCCTGCATGCCCCACACTGCGGATCAAGCATGCAACCTGGGCATGTGCCATGACCTGGCATCAAACCAGGACCTCCTGGTTCATAGGTTTAATGCTCAACCACTGAGCCACACCAGCTGGGCTTGCCCACTTTTTTAAAAAATTATCTTTATTGTTGAAAGTATTATAGACGTCCCCCTTTTTCCCTATTGATCCCTTCTAAACCACACCTGCCCCACACTCCAGGCCTTCACCAAACTATTATTGTCAGTGTCCATGGGTTATGCATATATACATACAAGGTCTTTGGTTGATATCTTCTCACCCACCCTCCCTCCTCACCTTCCCTCTGAGATTCAACAGTCTGTTCCATGCTTCTATGTCTCTGGGTCTATTTTGTTCATCAGTTTATTTTGTTCTTTAAATTCCACATATGAGTGAGATCACGTGATACTTGTCTTTCTCTGACTGGCCTATTTTGTTTAGCATAATATTCTCCAGGTCCCTCCATGCTATCTCAAAGGGTAAGAGGTTCTTCTTTTTGGCTACTGTAGAGTATTCCATGGTGTAAATGTACCACAGCTTTTTTATGCACTCATCTACTGATGGACACTTGTGCTGTTTCCAGATCCTAGCTATTTTTTAAATGGATTATTTGGTTTTTTTAGTGTTGAGTTATATGAGTTCTTTATAAATTTTGGATATTAACCCCTTATCAGATGAATCATTGGTGAATATATTCTCTCGTGAAGTGGGTTGTCTTTCTCATTTTGATGATGGTTTGTATATTCTGAGAGTAGGAGGTATAATAGAATGGGATCAATTCTTTCAGTCCATACAGTACTATTAAATTAACTCTCAAAGTTGTTTATTCAGTCAGCAAGTATTAAGAGCTCACCAGGGCCTTGACTGGTTTGGCTCAGTGGATAGAGCATTGGCCTAAGGACTCAAGGGTCCCAGGTTCGATTCTGGTCAAGGGCATGTACCTTGGTTGCGGGCACATCCCCAGCAACCAAGGGGTGTGCAGGAGGCAGCTGATCGATGTTTCTATCTCATTGATGTTTCTAACTCTCTATCCCTCTCCCTTCCTCTCTGTAAAAAACATCAATAATAAAATATTTTTTTTTAAAAAAAGAGTTCACCAGATTTCAGGCACTAATACTTAGGGCATGTGCAACTACATCTAGGTACTTTTGGAGTTGATTTACAATGCAGTATCTGAAACACATTCCTAGTTTTATCTAATGAGTATTACCTACCACAATTAGTCTTCTTCTTAACTATAACAACAACATATGCTAAGTGCTTATAATACCAAGTGCTTATACCATTTACTCTTCACAACACTCATATAAGGCAAAGATTGTTACAATCCCCATTTTATAAAGAAGAAAAGAAATGTGAAAGAATATTTGACTGTCCAAGGCCACCCAGTTGGTAACCAAAAAAACTCTGAAATACAAACCAAGTCTCTGAAGTCTAAATTAGTGCTATTCAAAGTCTCATCCTCTATGGGTGGCAGTATCAGCAGCACCTGGGAGCTTGTTAGAAATACACTTGGGAATGTATCATAATTTCAGGGAGTGTGGCCTAGCCATGTGTTTGACAAGCCCTCTATATGATCTTATGCATGCTAAAGTTGATAAGCACTACTCTAAACCACTACACTATACATACTATTCAGCTTCCTTAGTTCACAAATTACGAATAGTGTTGGGTTACATTATTTCTCTCCTGCATTTAAGAATTTTTAGCTTTCATCACGATTGTCCTTTTGGGTTGGATTCTATGGATAGTGAAAACACAACTCTATGCCATATCCTGTAAGCAGCGTGACTATTCATCCTAATTCTCTGGGGACAGTCCCATTAAACCTGTTGTCTTGCTGCAATTAACCATAGCCTTTCACTCTCAGAAGTGCCATAGTTTGAACTATAAATCATATGGTGGCCCTACCTATAAGCCACTACTTGTTCTGGCTGCCACTCGCTCCAACATCATATTTTACCATTCACCTGTCACATCTATGTACTGGCTACAAAAATGGTTTTCTTTCAGTTCCTTAAATTTTCAAACTCATTTGTAATGAAAGGGCTTAACATTTCTCTTCCCTCTTCCTGGGAGGCTCTTCCTCTAGGTCTCAGAATGATTTGCTCCTCCTCGGTGGGCTTCCAAAGGTGGAATGATAGGAGCAGTCCACCCTGTGGACAGGTAATTTAGAGAATTTTATAACAGTAGTAAAACTAAAACACAGTCATCAGCAATTCAAAACATTAATGAAAAAATACTGCTTTCCCCCTCAAAAAAATTATTATTTGTCCTTTAATAAACATTGTATTCTACATGGAAGTTGATTCTGAGAACTCCCAGGTCTATAGGTGGCCCTCAGACAAACACTGGCATAGACAGTTGCATTTATCTCAAAAGTAAATTACTAAAATAGATTTGGAATAGTTACAGTTTATTTTGGGTCATTTGTGTCTCCAACCTCTGTGTTACCACATTCCTCAGTTTAAACAATAGATTTAAAATAAATTGTGGTGGCACATTGATTGAAAAGATGAGGAAACAGAACTTGAGTTACTTCAGTTTTGTCATGTTATTTCACTTCTGGGGATTTTTATTTGCATTCAAGATTTAAAACAGGGAATTCCAAGGGAGCCAGAATAGCCTAAATAGTCTTCAAAAAGAACAAAGTTGGAGAATTCACACTTCTCAATTTCAAAAATTATTGCAAAGCCACAGTAATCAAGACAATGTGGTACTGGCATAAGGACTGTCACATATGTCATTGAAATAGAGTTGAGAGTCCAGAAATAAATGCTCACATTTACACTCAATTAATTTTTGTCAAAAGTGCCAAAACAATTCAATGAGGGAAAGTCTTTTCAACTCATGGTGCTGGAACAACTGGATATCCACATTCAAAAGAATAAAGTTGGACCCTCATCTCAAATCAACTTAAAATGGACCAAAAACCAAAATGCAAGAACTAAAATTATAAAACTTTTTAAAAAGAATATTGGTGTACATTTAGGTTGCTTACATATCGTGGCTACTGTAAATAATACTGCAAAGAACACAGAGAGGTATATATCTTTTCAAATTAGTGTTTATTTAAAATATATAAAAATTAAAATGGAAAATTTATTAAAAATATAAGTAAGTAATAAAATAACATAGGTGTGAATCTTTATAATTTTGGATTAGGCCATAGTTTCTTAGATATGACACCAATAGCACACAGAACAAAGGAAAAAAATTGGACTTCATCAAAATTAAAAACTTTTGCCTTGAAAAGACACTACCAAAAAAAATAAAAGATAATCAGTAGAACAGGAGAAAATATTTGCAAATCATATATACAATAAGTGACTTACATCTAAAATATATACATATTCCTTACAACTCAGTAATAAAGAAATAATGCAATTAAAAGTAGACAAAGAAGATATACAAATGGCCAGCAAGAAAATAAAAAGATGCTCAACATCATTAGCCATCAGGGAAATGCAAATCAAAACCGCAACAAACTACCACTTCATACCCACTAGGATAGATGGAATCAAAATGTCAGATAATTACAGGTGTGGGCAAGGAGGTGAAAAAGTTAGAACCCTCATGCATTGCTGGTGGGAATGTAAAATGGTGTATCATCCAGTTTGGAAAACGTCTGTCAGTTCCTCAAAAGATTTAACATAGAGTTGCCATATGACCTGGCAATTCCACTCTAGGTGTATAGGCCCCCCCAAGACTAACGTGTTCACGTAAAAACTCGTACATTAGTGTTCATAATAGATTTAAGTATTCATAATAGCAAAACTGTAAACAACCCAAATGCTCACCAACTGATGAATGAATAAATAAAATATGGTATATCCATACAATGGAATATTATTCAGCAAGAAAAAGAATGAAGTACTGATACAGGGTACAATATAGATGAACATTACAAACATGATGCTAAGTGAAAGATACTGGTCACAATTGAGGGCATATTTATGATTGCATTTACTAGTATATGAAAAATCCAAATAAGCAAATCTATAGATCCAGCAAGTGGTTTCCTAGGGCTGTGAGGAAGGGAAGTGGTGGTTTGGGGAAACAACTGGGGTGATAAAATATTCTAAAATTGTGATAATAATTGCATAACTCTATGTGTATACTAAAAAAACAACATTGCATTATACAATTTACATAGGTATATTATATAGTATGTGTATCTCAATAAAGCTGTTTACACCAAAAAAGATTTAAAATAGTGAAACATGTTGCAAACTGCATACTATGTAAGGTATGTTATTTTTCCCCTTTTATAAAAAATACAAGGATGTACAACCTGGCTGGTGTGGCTCAGTTGATTGGAGTGTCATCCTGCCGGACACCAAAAGGTCAAAGGTTCTATTCCTGGTCCGTACAGGAGACAACCAATAGATTTTTCTCCCTTTCGCCCTCTCCCTCTCCCTCTCCCTTTCTCTCTCAAATCATTTTTTAAAAAATATAATGATGTAATTAAAAATACTAATCCATTACTCTTTTGTAATGTTTATTTTATTTAAATTAATTTTGTTACTGGTATGATAATATATGAAGTTCAATAACTTTTTTTAACTTTTTTTTTATTAGTTAAGGTATTACAAATGTGTCCTTATCCCCCCCCATTAACCCCCAACCTACCCCCGCACACACACTTATGCTTTTTTTCATTATGTTTTTTTCTAGCCATTGTATTATTATTATTACTAAAAATAATTTTTTCTAAAGAGGAGAGGAATGTTACAAATTATTTATCCTAGGTGATAAATATTCTAGAAATGCCACTGCACCTTTTTATTATTATGTAGTTTTGCTCACATATCAGCATCTCAGAGAAGCATTTCCTAACCACTTTATTTAGAATAGTTACCACTCCATGCCCCCAAATGATATCACTTTCTATCTCCTTACTTGGCTTAACTTTCTTCATAACTTTTATGATTATCTAATATTCCTTTGTTTATTTTTGTCTCCTTCACTAGAATGTTAGCTCATTAAAGGGTTGTCTGCCTTGCTCACTCCAGTAGCCTCAATGTATAGTACACATTCAACCAATTTGGGGTGAATAAATAAACATTAAAAATTATATCTACTACTTACTTTGCTTCACAAGAAATATTTTAAAAGAAGTTTTATCTTCGTGCACAATTTCTGTTTTACATTGAGATGAAAACATTGATTCTCACCCTTTTCATCAAGGTTGTGTGGATATCATATTCTGCTAGATACTTCAAAAATATCTGGACAATCAAAATCCCTTTGTCTAAGAATTTGAAATTTAAAAAATTATGTATTGAATTTTATACATTTGCATTCATTATCTTCAATGAGGTTTAGGAGCTGCAATCCACTCAACTCTGCAAGGTCTCTTTCTTAAAGTTACAAAAATAAAATATTTTTTAAGGTTAATCAGCTTAGATTATCCCAGAATTCATTACTCCAGGCTAGTGATAAAAACCAGCCTCCTTTATTGAACCTAAATATTTCTGGACTTTGTTAAACAGACTTCAAAACACTTACTTTTGAAAACTTGACAAATTTTTATAGAAATTACTTCTTGGAGTCTAGATTTTCTCTTTATTATTGTTTCTTTATCTCCTTTTCAAAATAATAGTTGTATTTTTAAAACAAAGCAGAACTCTGTTATAATATGGTTCAATATTACAACTGTTTGGGTAGGCCATAGGTCAAATCCTGTCCTTCCCAAAATGTGACAACCACACATAGTACAAACTTGATCACACTGCTAGCCCATAACCCTTTAGTTAGTCATGAGCTGGGATATGACAGTTACGAATAAAGGATATTACCATGTGTATAGTTGTGTTAACATAATATTCCTTTTAGAAAAGGAATATTTCTCCTATTTTTAAAACACTGTTACAAAATGTCTTTTTGATAATAATTTTGGTGGACTTAGATTATTGTGTGTAGATTCTCAGCTACTTAACCAATCTAAAGGCTACATTACACAATGGTTAAGAGCCTTAGATGTGAAATCGAAATGCCTACGGTCAAATCTCCAATCTATCATTTACTGATTGTATCATGTGTCCAACTAACTTATCCTTGCTGTACCTCAGTTTTATAACCTTTAAGGTGGAGATAATAATAGTACCCACCTCAAGAGGTTGTGATGATTAAATAAATTAATTCACGTAGAATACTTAAAACAGTGCTTATTACATAGGGCACTATCAGTAAGTGCTAGTCTTTGTTTTAATGCTAAAAGGAAAAAGACATTTAAAATTAAAGTCTTAGTTACCACTAATACATCAATAGAAAATAAAAAGATACAATTTCATACATTTTAATATAAAATTAGTGGGAGGACTTGATTTTAGCTTCAAGCTTTCCATGTGTAATTATATTTTATTTGTGCAGCTAAAGTAATGACTTTCTGAAGTAAAAATTTATACAGAAGCCTAAAATATGCAAGATTATTTTCTTATACTGTTGCAGCCTGGTAGAAAAAAGGATACATGGCCCTCCTGCTAAGTTTAGACTAGACGCTTTTCTTAAACAGTCACATATTTCTTCATTAAACTGTTTTTTAATGGCCCTTTTGATGACTGCCAGTTTCCTCCACAATAAAAGAAGTTTTGACCTGTGAATTCATTTTTTTAAATCTAGTAATAGCTTTGAATACATTAACTGAGCATTGTGGACCAAATAAGGAGCCAATTAGTTATGTTTTCCATCATCTGAATGAAATAAAAATGAATCAACTTCATCACTAAACTTAAAAGGTTGTCTTCATTGGCAAAGAAATCTAAACATTGTTCTGCTAATTCAAGTTCCTTTTAGAAAGTAAGGAAAGTTGAATTATCTGTGACCTGAAAACAACTGAGTTTCATTTTCCATTCCCCGCTATAAAGTCTAGTCAAGTGGCTTGGTACTACCATTCTACAGAAGCACTTCCCATAAAATTACTTAAAGAATTCATTACTTAGAAGGCTGCCTATCAATTATGACCCAGCACAGTATTCATTTTCACAAATAGAAGCTACTTATTTTTCCTTCCTCATTCGTGCTTTATTTTCCTTTCTCACTCATCTAGATATTGGGATAATGTGATGAATGCCTCTACTCATCAAGCAACCATCTTTGTTAAATAGGCCTTACAGGTAATCTACTCACCAACTAGTTATAACAAGTAAGAAATGAGAACCATGAGTGAGTCTGGAATCTCAATGCAAACACTCTCCAACCATGTTTGCTTTTTGTAAAAGCACATCCGTTCTCCTCAAGCCCTTAGTTTTTGTAGATAGCAGCTAAAAAAATTTTTTAAACATGTATCAAACACAGTATCACTATTTTATGCCTTTCCAGGTAGTCTGTGAGAGTTACATCAAGCCTAATGGGAAATATGGTTTGTCTCACCAATGCATATTGGAAAAGATTCTCGTTTTCAGGTGCACTCTCTTTGGGATTTCGAAAGAGAAAGTGAAATATCAGTTTTAACATTAAATATGTCACCACAGCTTTGGGGATTTTCATTTTATAAAATTAAAAACATAATTGGGACTTATTGATAACTCACAATTGAATGTTTAAGTATATATAAGCATTTCTTCTCTTAAAAATGTATCTTTAGATTCAGATGGCCTTTCATGGTCCTAATTATTTCCTAATTATTTGCTTAAATTGTTGTTAAAATATCATAATACTTACAAGCTCTAATTAAAATACTTTAACTTAAAAATATTTCTGCAACTGTTGTTTTTGTAGAATTCACGTCTTATTAAAAGTTGAGGAATAATGAAGCTAATGATATAAAGTAAAGATAATTAATAAATCATTTTATGTTTAAAATCAATTGAAACTGGGCAGCTAACTAAAGAGAGTACAAAAAAACCTTGCTTTTAATAATCAGGAGTTCTTGTTGTGAATATACATTCTGTCGCATACCTTTCTGTCAAAGTCTCTGAGTTGAGATTCGGCCCCTGCCAAGTCTCTGAAAATCGCTTGTTCAAAAATCTTAATTATAAGAAAGTAAACAAAGAGCGGGTTGAGGTAGTGCAGAGTTCTAATGAGTTAATATAACAGAACTCAAGAAAAGTCAACTCTCTTCAAAGCCAGCAGCTCAGCTCTGACAGTCATCCATCAAACTGAAGGTCTCCTTAATAAATGCCAATTATAGGGCATATATGCACAAACGTGGCTAGCATAAGCCATAGGATCAGTTTCTCCTGAGAAAACTAGTGACCAAAAAAACACCCAGGCAGTGCAAGGGACCAGCCCACCCGACGGTGAGGCTTGCTTCCGATGGGAATACTAACTAGTGTTATCGCTCTCCCTCTTTTTTCAACTTTGGAAGAGTTCAGAACCACACAGAGTTTTGTTTGGGGTTATACAAATTCCTTCACAATTTGTGTAGAAGTCTAACATAACTTTTTAAAAGCCATGACATGCCCATAATGTATACAGAGTCTCTGACTTCCGCCGTGAGCGAGGCTTTTTCCTAACTTAATCATACTCAAATTTCACCCCTTTTAAAGATCCTGATTCAAAAATGTTCACTCATTCTCCACAGTCCACAAATTTATACCATCTCTTCCTGTGGTATTTTATGTGCATAAATTAAAAAAGAATGGCCTCCAATGAGGATTAAAAGGTTGAAAAATATCATAGACTTTCTAAACTTAGTTTCATTTTTATTTTAATTCTCAAAATGTGTGTTAACAGCACAAATATTACATGTATATTTTCCTGCATTCTTATAAAATAATCCATTCACGTTATCCTTATTATCTAGAGGAAATGCTGGCTCAGCTCAGACAGGAAGTTACCTCATAGGCTTCTCATCATATCACCATGTAACCCTGCATATATGACAAATAAACACATGACAACTTTGGAGAAATAACTAAAATATGCCCTACTGGTACCGTTGCTCTTATTGTGGAATTCAATAAGAATTCATACTCAATTTTCAAAAATGTTCCTCTGCCGCTTTTTTTATTATCTACATAGCCAATTGCTGAGCCCATCCTCAAGCAAGTTTCCTAGTGGTGTTTGCTGACATCAGGGGGAGGGGAGGGAACTTTCTTAGAAAATATGGCCACAGATATTGGCCAAATTTTATACCACAGCATTACTTCTTTAACGCAGATAGGTGGGTTTTCGGAAAGAAGGGCTATATTCTTCTATGATGACAGAGATAATTAATAGAGCAAATGAAAACATTCATGTTTGATATTTTTATGCAAATGGATTAGAATAGTCTGCTTTAGTCCCAAGTTGATGTCTTATCTAATTGCCCTATAAAGTGACATCTTCCATCTCACATGTGGACCCGTGCTAAATTCATTTATTTCCATCTTGCCTGATATGATGAATGGTCTGAGCTCCATTCAATTATTTAAAATGTGCAAAGAAACAGAAACAATGAGACTGGCAAAGCCCTCTACATTCTTAGGAACAATTTAGGCTAATTAGCATCAACTTCTCCCCCATTCATCATACCCCTTTAGAAATATAAACAAACTGTCAGCTCTAACCTAACAAACAGATCACTGAGCTACTTAACACAAATTATTCTTACATGAAAAGCTCCTTCTCAGGCAATATTCTCCTTTAGGGCATCTGGGAAGCTGAGCTATTAAAATTGAAGACATATGTTCCAGTCAAACTCAACTCCTGGATTGTAATGATCGCTGTTGTGACAGTTTTCAGTCAGCATACTTGCTGCTGGCAACACAGCCCCAAGCCTGAGCAAAGCGCAAGTCAAATGGAATGATGCAAGCAGAGCCCCGACACAGAAGACACCTCCTCACACTACCTACCACTATTCAGCTAGTGGAGCTCACTCATGATCTCCTGTTACAGCTCAAAGTTTGACTGCATTTCATTTAGGGTATTAGGATGAGGAAGGTAACAAATGTGGTCTGTGACAAGACTGTGAGAATTTCATCGTGTGTTATTTTTAATTACATCCTTTGAGGCTGATGCTACTTAACTTTCAATATTCAGTTGAAGCCTTTAAGTCCTGGCCTATAATTTCAGAGAAGCTGGAGAGGGTATGGTTGGAAAGGTCCAGATGGAGAGAAAGGCGGCCTGCAGATAGACTGGGGGTGGCCCTCAAAAGGACAACTTAGAAACTGAACTCCTTCCTTTCAACTAACAGGAATAAAAATGAATAATTTACACTTTTACATACCAGAACTTTGTAATTAAATCCTTTCCTGAATATTGGACCCAGATACTATTTTCTTCATTTGTTTAAGTGCAGCCACATATGCACCATCAACTCCCATTATTTGCCTGAGTTATGCTCTATGAAGTCACTGTTAACACTGAATTAGTGAATTCTGAACCCAATGCTCCTAGGGGAAATGCAAGGTTAAGTTCCTGCGAGCCTCTGGTCACAACCTTTTCATCAGCTGATCAGTATGCAACCTTATTTTACATGAGTTTCTGTTTAAAGACACCTTATTTGGTACATATTGTTGACTTATTAGCATTGACCTCACAACCAACAGCACTATAACTGATGCCTGAAATAAGCTTATCAAACACATGACACGTCACAGACTTCTTGCGTTTAGCAACACTAGGCAACACTATGTTTGAGGGCCATATTAAACAGTGAAATCGCCAATCAAAAAAGCACAAAAATGTGAAAAACACGGGACTAAATAGACCAGGAAAGGGACACTTGTTTACAGTATGAGAGCTAAATAGGAAGGCAGAACATCATCTTGCTCAATCTCAGCTGAAAGCATGCACTTCAGATGACTGAGTTTTCACCACTCTGCACATGTCTGCAACTGACCGTGAAAGCACCACAAGTATTGATTTTGAGGTTACAAATAAATGTTGTCAAATAGGCAAGTTCACAAGTACTAAATCTGCAAGTGAGCATCAACTGTATATACATTCATACATAAATACTCCCCTCACATTTCCCTCTGAGTTGTTTCTCTCAGAGAGCTAGGGTCATAGTCTGAAATCAAGCAAAGCCTTCACAAGTTAACTGATAAATTCTGGTGGCCACGGACTTTCTAGTAACATGGTAAATCATAAAACCCTTCCAATATATTCCTACTAGAGACCCAGTGCACAAAATTCGTGCACGGGTGGGGTCCTGAGGCCTGGCTGGCGATCAGGGCCGATTTGTGGGATGACCAGTGGGGTATTCGGGGCCCCCACTCACACCCGCCTTGGCCTGGCACCGCCCACTCACCAGCGCCAACCCCCCCACTGCTGCCAGTCACCTCCCTCTGTGGGGTGACCAGTGGAGCAATCAGGGCCCCCCCTATTCGCACCCACCTTGGCTTGCCTGGCAGTGCCTGCTCGCTGGCCCCGCCCCCCACCACCGCCACTGCTGGTTGGGGCCTACGGACTGGGGGCAGCTTCTGCGTTGAGTGTCTGGCCCCTGGTGGTCAGTGCACGTCATAGCAACCAGTCATTCTGCCACTCGGTCTATTTGCATATTAGGGTTTTATATAGATAGATTCTTTAGTATACTAGGAATGTTAATACTGATGGCACTATAACTACTGTGATAATAGTGTCAATCCATACCCGACCCACCATATAATACTGTCTCTACCTTACTGCAGTATTTGGATTACTATTATTTGTTATAGTGGGTAGTTGTTGCTAGCATCCATCTCCCCCCACCCCAACCAACCTAGATCTCAGATTTCCCATCCACACTGTTTAGGCAGGGTTGTCTCTAGAAGTGGGCTATTGGCCTTTAAGCCAATTAGTGCATCCCATCCCTCTAGCTACAGTAATTCCTTTAGGATGAGCACACAACTCAGTCTGGGCTAAAGACACTCCAGGAGATATTTTCTGAGCTCTTCTTGGAAAAATGGTTTCTCTCTGAGAGGCATGGCAGGAACCAGCCTCAGAGGAAGCAGGCATTACACGAAGCAGAGCTGAGACATGTAAACAAACTGGGTCCTCCATGATACTGGCCAAAGCTCACATTTATTACACCATATTTTAAAAGTATTCAATAACTAATAAATAAATACCCTTCGTTGCTTAAGGTAACATGGGTGAGGTTCTATTTTTCTTGTACTGAAGAGAATTCTGACATATTTACATGCTAGTTTTTACCTGTCTGTTCCTAACACACACACACACACACACACACACACACGAAAACATTAATTACCTGAATTATCTTTGCTCATCTTTTTATAGACTCTTTCCTTCCTAGAAGCATGACTGATAATAGAAGCCATTGATAAATACATTTAATTTAATTAGTAGAATGGAAAATACCTTCCATGGATGGAATCATAAACAGTATACCAGATTAACCCTAGGATGGCTAATCAAGGTGGCTGCTATCCATACTGCTGCTCACCCATGAGAACAAAGTTCTTGATATAATTGCCTTAAATATAAAGTGGCTCATTTTATATTATACTAGTACACATTTGCACTTTAGAAAACTAAAATCTTTATATAACCAATCAATATTCATCTTTAGTTTGTCAAGTAAAATTATAAAGGTAACATGAACTTGTGTCCTGCTCACCCCTTAAAGTAAGATAACGTTAAAATACTTTTACTTCAGCATCCCAGACTCTAATTTTTCTGGGTTGGGATAAAAAGAATAGAGCTGAATGTTACCCAAGCTTCATTTATAAATGTAAAGCAATATCCCAACTTTGTAAAACTTCTGCCTAGTCTTTTTTTTTCTCTATGGGTGGTTTTAACAGCCATAGTTATTTGTGGATGCAAAACTGTATAATAAACTGCAACTGCAATTGACTAACCTCAGAAGGTCTGACAAGTGACTAATTACTCCCACAGGTGGCCAACTGCTTTGGGAATTAGCCCATTGTAGGCAAAATTCATAGTATAAGAAAGAGGCTTCCTTTTCAAAATATCCACACCTTCTTTTTGGAGAATGAATAGCGGGGAGAGGACTTACAGGAAAAATGGGGGGGGGAGAATGAAAGCATAAGGGGTAAATGCAAAAATTAATGGTTTCTTCAACAAGCAAACCATTTAATCTGATTTTTCCTCCCAAGGTGGAGGAAGCCCACCCAACCCC